AGCATCTACGCCCTCTTGATGAGTGACTTCATCACAGAAATGATAAGCCTAGCTTGGAATTTCAGTGATAAAAACATGAGGACTAAGAGCTGTTAGCTTTGCTGCTCGTTGTCTTGATATCTTAAAGGTAATCGAAGAATCATTGAAATTTTCCAGAAAATGCGCTAAATGCCTCACTATCCGTAACCAGGGAACGCTGGGATGGGATTCAAATAGTTTTATTAACCAAGTACTTTAAAAACGCGTTTATTATCAAATGGTTTATTTGAAGTAGGCAAAATATGAATACTCAAAAGAGCCGTTGCAATAGTGATTTTATATTATATTATATTATGTTATGTTATATTATATTATATCATATTATACTATATTATATTGTGTTATATTAAACTTCCATCTGAATGTGCTGTACAGGGGTCATTTGATATTATGTCTGAAAATATCTCTGAAACATAGAAGAGCATTGACCTCGTCATGACGCCAACTGAGAAGTCCTTAAGAACCCATGAACATTCAGCCAGAAGTTTCGCCTTTTGCACGGTCCGCCAGATTTGCGTACGTGAATTTCTATCAGTCTCATACCTCCAAACGTTGAACACGTATTCGCAAATTGATATAAGTTTGACGAATATAAGCCTCGTAATGCACCTAGTATTCCAGCACACCCAGACAAGCCCGTGTGACCCGTCCGCCAACGGGCGGAAATTTACAGAAATTCAAGCAGTAAAGGCATCCGGCAGGTACGAATGACCCATTAGCAAACAAATCTTGCCATGAAGCACCACAAAAGAAGGACATGTAGGTGGGTCAGAAACATTACAAACTGGTTCACTGGGGAAATATGCAGACTATAAAGGTATTTGAGGAATCAGGTCAACAGAAACTGGCAAGAAATCAAGGAACACGGTTAACTTCCGTTTTCTTTTCGATTAAGTCGTCATTCAGATTACGAGGATATTATCTGCCCATTTCAGAGTGGCGTAAACGGAGAGGTGGCCAACCCTTGACTTCGCAGAGAGGGAGACCACGAAACGCTTGAATGCTGTCGGTGAATCTCGCCTTCCAGGATGGGGACCGTGTAATCCTCACTGTGCCTTGTTGGAGACACTACAAGATATGGCTGCCAACCGATGTCAGTGGCGTTCTTGTTGTCAGTTTCTATCCAGATTGCCTGAGTGAATGTCTGGAGGTGTAGGCACCTCGGAATGATTGTGTTAAGCTAGCA